ACCTTTCTGACTTCTCCATCCCCCTGCTTAATCATGACTCTGTTTCCTCTTTACCCCAGCCAGTCTTCTCCCCCACACTCTGCTTTTCTCTCCAGCCCCTACAGTCACCTGCCTTTCCATTTACAGCTTCCCACCTCTCACAGCTACTGCCCCACATGCCCCTGCACTGTCTATTCTCCTGCACCTGCTCAGCCTCCTGCTGGCTGAATCCCCCACAACCTCTCTTTGTCCCCCACACATCCTCCTGGACCCCCTCAGAGTCCCTCTAGCTCCCCATATTTCCACTTTTCCTCTTGAGTTTTCTGTCCAGTCTCCTAACAGAGCCCCAGCCATATTCCTTGAGAAGACCCTGACATCATTCACACTGGAAACAAGGGTAGTTGGTGGCCATCTTTATTAGGGGCAGCCTCACCTCCACATGACAAATCTGTAGGGAAACAGTGGCCATGTTGAAGGCCATTTGACTTGAGCTTCTCCCACCCCACCCCCCAATAATGGGAAATGGCATCCATATCTCACAAGGGAAAATGTGCAAGTTTTGGATTGAAATCCCAACTAAATATCATGAGACTCATGATAAAAATCACCAGAGTCGGCAGGTCTGGGCATTGCACTTTCACAGCAGAAATTGTGTTTATTTTTAATGAAAGCTCTGGGAAATTTCCCAACTCCCCAGGGAGGTTCCCTGCTCTCTGTGGGGAGGGGTAATTTCCAGCCCTGCCTGTGACTGGTCAGGGCTCTGATCTCAGCAGGGCTAGAAGTGGGGATAAGAGGTTGAAGACCTGTGCTATGCCTGTGTCATAACATCCCTCGGTATGTGGAGGACCCTCAATCTCCTACAAGGGGGAACCTCAAGTCTCCAAGGAACCATCTGACCTCCTCAAAGGGTCTCCAGGAATGGTTTCCAATCCCTTTGGTTTATACAAGTGATGGAATACACTCCTGTGTTCATACCCTACACCCTACTGAAATAATTTTTGTACAAAGTATGATTTTTGAGGTGTCTTTTGAAAATTCATAATTTGGTGGTCACTGTTGTCTTGATAAAATATGTGGCAACATTGTATGTAAAATTAAGATTTTCTTGTAGTATGTTGTTAACACATGTTCCAAACCATAGCAGAAGTTGGCACACCAGTCTGTCCTAAACAAAGGAATGTGTGCTTTGCTTCATTAGCATTTAAGCAGTAACTAGAGTCATCAAGCCAGAAGGGAGTGCAAACAGGTGAGAAAAAAGCAGCAAAGAAAATCCTTCCACACAGACGCTTTGTCTCCTGGTTCTCAGCTGGAAATGCTTCTCAAAGGGGGAATAAGACTGTGAAAAGGAGGGGCAGACACCCCAAGAAACCTTCCCCCCTCCCCCCATTCATCTCACTCTTTGCACCTGAGCAGACAAAGAACATAGCCGTTGTATTATGGGGGACGGGTCCTGACCTGAAGGTTGGTCAGTAACACTGCTGGAAGCATGTGTTGAGAAACTTTGCTTCAGATCTAACATAAATTGTTGTTAGATGTGAGAAAGTGTCTTCTCTTTATTTTTCTTGTAGTCATTTCTCACTTTTATGCCTCATTACTTGTATTCACTTAAAACCTTTCTCTTTGTAGTTAATAAACTTGTTTTACTGTTTTATCCAATCTAGTGTGTTTAAGTTGGCGTGTCTGGGTACTTTATTTAATGTAATAAGCAGTCATATTCCCTAAAGGAATAAAGGACTTATTTTATTTGTATTGTCCAGGAGAGGGCTGGGTAGTACAGGACATATATTTCTGGGGGAAATCTAAGACTGGGGGTGCATGGGTGTCACACTGAAGTATAACCAAGGCTGGTGAGAGTCTGAGTGTAACCAAGAGTGCCTGGCAGTTTGCAGTTACACACTCTCTCTCTCTCATGGTGTGATTTGCACGCTGGTAGGCTGTTTGTGTCTGGCCCTAGAGGGTGCTACTGCAGCAAGGCATTGTAAGGCATCCAGGGTTACAGGGCAGGGGTGACACAGCTACTGATTAGTCTGGATTGTACCCAGGTATGTCACACCCACCCAGCTAGTACATCTGGAAACAACTGTGTCTTAGAATAAGTGTAAAATCTTGGTCTCATGTGTTTTCTTTGTCTGGAGCAGGATTTTCCATTCCCAAACTTGTTGTGATCTCCCAGGGAAGAGACATGGCTCCAAGATCTCCAGGACTCTGAGGAAAGGGAGATCCAGAGAAACAGCCACACAGGTGAGGAATTGGTTAAACAGACGGAGAAGCCATCTGCCATTGATGTGTTATATTTTGACTGTAGTAAGACTTTTTATACGGTCTCGCATGACCTTCTCGTAAAGGAACTAGGGAAATACAACCTTGATGGAGCTACGATAAGATGGGTGCGCAACTGGTTGGAAAGCTGTTCAGAGAGTAGCTATCAGTGGTTCATCGTCAAGCTGGAAGGGCATATTGAGGGGGTCCCACAGGGATCAGTTCTGGATCTGGTTCCGTTCAGCAACGTCATCAATGATTTAGATAATGGCATGTAGAGGACACTTATAAAGGTTTGCGGACAATACCAAGCTGGGAGGGGTTGCAAGTGCTTTGGAGGGTAAGATTAAAATTTAAAATGATCTGGACAAACTGGAGAAACGGTCTGAAGTAAATAGGATGCAGTTCAGTAAGGACAAATGCAGAGTACTCCATTTAGGAAGGAACAGTCAGTCGCACACATACAAAATGGGAAATGACTGTCAAGGAAGGACTACTGTGGAAAGGGATCTGGGGGTCATAGTGGATCACAAGCTAAATGAGTCAACAGTGTAACTGCTGCAAAAATAAATAAAGCAAACATCATTCTGTGATGTATTAGCAGGAATGTTGTAAGCAAGACACAAGAATTCTTCTGCTCTACTCTGTGCTAATTAGGCCTCAGCTGGAGTATTGTGCCCAGCTCTGTGCACCACATTTCAGAAAAGATGTGGACAAATTGGAGAATGACCAGAGAAAAGCAACAAAAATTATTAAAGGTCAAGAAAGCATGACCTATAAGGGAAGATTAAAAAAAAAAAAGGGGGGGGGGGGTTGTTTAGTCTGGAGACGAGAAGACTGAGAGGGGACATAACAGTTTTCAAGTACATGAAAGGTTGTTACAAGGAGGAGGGAGAAAAATTGTTCTCTCTAACCTCTGAGGATAGGACAAGAAGCAATGGGCTTAAATTGCAGCAAGGGTAGTTTAGGTTCAACATTAGGAAAAAATTCTTAACTTTCAGGGTAGTTAACCACTGGAATAAATTTCCTAGGGAGGTTGTGGACTCTCCATCGTTGTCTAACCTACTCTTAAAAATCTCCTAACACCTGTCAGGAATGGTCTAGATCAGAGGTTATCAAACTGTGGTCCACGAGCTCCATTCAGGTGGTCCACGGATAGTTCCCTCTAAGGTGCACACCTGGATGGCCTCACACAGGAGAACGAAGGGTCACCCACCTAATTAGTGGAGCCGTGCAGGTGTGTCTCCACTAATTAAGTGCCTGGACCCTGGAGAAGATGCGCATGTAAGGTGAGGTGGCGGCCTTGGGGGGAATAGGGGGTAGGTGGGAGGGGGCAGTGGGTTGAGAAGAGGAGGTGGGGGGAATTTGGGACATGCAGGGCTTCGGCGGCCTGAGAAAGAGGCGACTTTCCCCAGCTCTAGGGCTGTGGCTTCCAGGGAGAGATGGCCCTCCTTGTATGTAAACAGCTGCCATTCTCACAGAGGCCCTGTGAGCATCTCCAGGTCTCTGTCCCCCGGTCAGGATTGTCCCCAGCAGGTGGTGTATACACATGGCAGATGTCGCTCGTGACTTCTCACCCACCCTCACTGACCCCTGGGAGTAGCTGCCTGCCTTTGAATGTTTGGATGGGATGTGGAAGCAGAATTGGTGTCTCTCTCTCTCCCCCCTCCACCCCCCTTCTAGGGAAATGTTTTCGGAAGGATTTAGATCCTGATTTTACAATTATCCCAATATTTTAATTATCCCAGATATTTTAATTTGTTTCCCCCCTTTCCTGTTCCACTTTCTGAGATTCCCATTTGTAACAGGGGCTCGGGTGGTCGGGAAGCCTAGTGATTAGATTGCCAGGCTCTCAGTCCCCTACTGGGCTGAGTACTTTGTCTTTAAGGCCAGGGGAGTGGTAAGGGGCACCCAGGCCCTCCCTCTCCACAGGGTCCCAGCCCATGGCCCTGTGTATATCAACCCCTGAACAGGTGGGTTTGGTGTCCCTCCCGGCAGGGAGTCAGAACCCACTGCCTGGGCTACTTCCTACAAGTCCATTCAGTTTGGGGCATGGCCCCTTTAGTACAACCTGCCGGTGGCTTGCTGCCCATAGGGTTACCTCTTGGGTCTAGGGAAATGCCTTGGTGCGATTTCAGGTTCCTTCAGGCAAGGTGAGGATGAGCCCACAATGTCTCTGGGGTCCACTCAGTCTGTTACCTCTGGTGCTGGGGGTTCATTCACAGTCTCCCCTTGGTTGGGGAGTCAGTGCTGGCTTCCAGGTGGCTGTTCTGGCTGGCAGGCCACTGCTCTATCCCTTCAGCTCTGAGCAGAGCTAGGTTCCCTTCTTTTATCCTCCCTCCAGTCCTGGCATTGTTTGCAGGTATAGTGAGGTAGGACTAGCTTAACCTAAACACTTCTTTAACCCTTGCTGAGCCAGCGGGCAGTTTCTCTGCTTCATTGCACTCTTTTCCAAGTGCAGGGACTGACTTCTGTCTGGATTCTCTTTCTTTCACATCAGGTGATGGGATGGTGAGTGAGAACAAGGAGGATCATCCTCAGCGGGGAGGTCCTGAGCAAATGGAAGCACAGAGAACACTATTGGGAAGATCTGAAGGGGACATTTCCTGGATTCCTGAGCAGGGAGAAGCCTGCAAAAATCAGCACAGACCAGAGGCGCAGCAGGGAGCCTCCTCATGGGAGAGAGAACAGGGTAAATCCACTGACCAAGGGGTTGGTTTGAAGGACCTTCCTGAAGACCTGATCCAGCCAGGAATCTGCAGTAAAGAGAAACCATACGAATGTGCTGAGTGCGGAAAAATCTTCAGTAATGACTCATCCCTGATTGTTCATCGGAGAGTCCACACAGGAGAGAGACCCTATAACTGCTCAGAGTGTGGGAAATCCTTCACTCGGAGCTCCACCCTTGTTGTGCATCAGAGAGTGCACACAGAAGAGAAACCCTATAAATGCCCCGACTGCGGGAAAAGCTTCAAGCGGAGCTCAACCCTTATTTCACACCAGAAAATCCACACAGGAGAGAGACCTTATAACTGCCTTGAATGTGGGAAAGGCTTCAGTGAACGCTCAAACCTAAACAAACATCAGAGAATCCACACAGGAGAGAAACCCTATAATTGCCTTGAGTGCGGGAAAAGTTTCACTTGGAGTTCACACCTCATTAAACATCAGAGAATGCACACTGGAAAGATGCCCTATCATTGCCCTGACTGTGGGAAAGGTTTCAGTGACAGCTCAGCTGTTATTAGGCATCAGAGGATCCACACCGGAGAGAGACCCTATAAATGCCTTGAGTGTGGGAAAAGCTTCAAGCAGAGCTCAAACCTTATGAATCATCAGATAATACACACAGGAGAAAAACCCTATTACTGCCCTGAGTGTGGGAAGGGGTTCAGTCGGAAGGCTCACGTCATTTCACACCAGAAAATACACAGGGCAGAGAGATCCTTTAACTGCCTTGAGTGTGGGGAAAACTTCACTAGCAGCTCTGACCTCATTAAACATCAGAAAACCCATACTGGAAAGACACCATATAAATGTTCTGTCTGTCAGAAAAGCTTCATGCAAAGGTCAGAACTTATTTCACATCAGAGAGCTCACACAGCAAAGAGAAACTATAAATGTTCTGTCTGTGGGAAAAGCTACAAGGGGAAGGTCTCTCTAGCGTCCCATCAGAAACTCCACATAGGCTAGCAGGTGGCAGGAACTCTGTGTGGGCAATGGGTCTGTGCCCTCCTGAAGCAAAGAGTGAATGTCCTTCATCGGTGGAGGGTCTGTGGAGGGGCAGCAAGTGGATGAAGGGTTCTGATTTCACTGGGGGATAGTTGGCAGCGGCAGAGGAGGAGGAAACACTGGGGAGCTGGGTGATTGCAGGGTCTGAGGGGAGCAGGCGATGGGATTAGTGGAGAGACATTTCTGTGGGTTCTACACGCACTTTCCAGTTTAGAAGAGAGGTAAAAAATGCCCCATTGCAGTTTGTTTCCAAGTTTGTTTCTGCAGCTCCAAGGGCATCTCAGGGTAGGGATACGGAAATGTTATTCAGGGAAGCAGCAAGGGGCCCTCTGGGGCTGTAGTTACAAGGCAGTAACAACTGCCGATCTGAACTAACAGGATGTCAGAGCACTGCTCAGTGTATTGGACATCTATACAGTCATGGACGGTCGGGGCTGCTGGAGACTGGGGATTCCATGGTGGAGATTCCCCAGAGAGGTGGGAACTCTAGGAGATGCCCTTTTAGGAGTGTGGTCTAATGGTTGGGGGGTTGGGGTGGGGGAAATGAGTTAGGACTCCTGGGTGTGAGCTAGTGCTGGTCACTTCCCCTCCTCTCTCTGTGTCCATTTCTCCCATCTCCACAGTGGAGATAATAGTTCTCCAACTCCCTGGAGAGTTGTGAGGGGCCAGTAATTACTGTGTGTTCATAGAATCCCAGAAATGCAGGGTTGGATCATAGGTACTGGAACTGGAAGTGCTGCCAAACCCCCTGGCTTGAAATGGTTTCTATTATATACAAGGTTTACAGCAGTGGTTCTCAAAGTTTTGTACTGGTGACCCCTTTCACATAGCAAGCCTCTGAGTGCGACAACCCCCCCCCCCCGCCAATTAAAAACATGTTTTAATATATTTAACACCATTATAAATGCTGGAGGAAAAGCGGGGTTTGGGGTGGAGGCTGACAGCTCAAGACCCCCCATGTAATAACCTCATGACCCCCTGAGGGGTGCTGACCCCCAGTTTGAGAACCCCTGGTTTACAGTTTAGTTTAATGGCTCACAGCACCTCCTCTATAAAAATTGTTCCAGGACCCCTGGGTTGGAAGGAACCCCGAGAGGTCATCAAGTCCAATTTCCTGCACTGAGGCAGGACCAAGTAAACCTAGACCATCTTTGTCAGGTGTTTGTCTAATCTGTTCTTAAAAACCTCCCATGAGGGGGATTCCACAGCCTCCCCTGGAAGTCTCTTCCAGAGTTTATCTACCCTAATAGGGGGTGGAGGGTGAGAAAACCTGGATTTGTGCTGTAAATGGCCCACCTGATGATCACTTTAGAACACTTCCTGGACACTACAGTGCTAATAAACAATGGCCACATAAACACCACCCTATACCGGAAACCTACTGACCGCTATTCCTACCTGCATGCCTCCAGCTTTCACCCTGACCACACCACACGATCCATCGTCTACAGCCAAGCTCTGCGATACAACCGCATTTGCTCCAACCCCTCAGACAGAGACAAACACCTACAAGATCTCTGTCAAGCTTTCTTACAACTACAATACCCACCTGCAGAAGTAAAGAAACAGATTGATAGAGCCAGAAGAGTTCCCAGAAGTTACCTACTACAGGACAGGCCTAACAAAGAAAATAACAGAACGCTACTAGCCTTCACCTTCAGCCCCCAACTAAAACCCCTCCAACGCATTATTAAGGATCTACAACCTATCCTAAAGGATGACCCAACACTCTCACAAGTCTTGGGAGACAGGCCAGTCCTTGCCTACAGACAGCCCCGCAACCTGAAGCAAATACTCACCAACAACCACATACCACACAACAGAACCACTAACCCAGGAACTTATCCTTGCAACAAAGCCCGTTGCCAATTGTGCCCACATATCTATTCAGGGGACACCATCACAGGGCCTAATAACATCAGCCACACTATCAGAGGCTCGTTCACCTGCACATCCACCAATGTGATATATGCCATCATGTGCCAGCAATGCCCCTCTGCCATGTACATTGGTCAAACTGGACAGTCTCTACGTAAAAGAATAAATGGACACAAATCAGATGTCAAGAATTATAACATTCATAAACCAGTTGGAGAACACTTCAATCTCTCTGGTCACGCAATCACAGACATGAAGGTCGCTATCTTAAAACAAAAAAACTTCAAATCCAGACTCCAGCGAGAAACTGCTGAATTGGAATTCATTTGCAAATTGGATACTATTAATTTAGGCTTAAATAGAGACTGGGAGTGGCTAAGTCATTATGCAAGGTAGCCTGTTTCCTCTTGTTTTTTCCTACCCCCCCCCCCCCCCCCCCCCAGATGTTCTGGTTTAACTTGGATTTAAACTTGGAGAGTGGTCAGTTTAGATGAGCTATTACCAGCAGGAGAGTGAGTTTGTGTGTGTATGGGGGTGGGGGGATGTGAGAAAACCTGGATTTGTGCAGGAAATAGCCCGACTTTATTATGTAAAGAGTTGTCACTTTGGATGGGCTAGCACCAGCAGGAGAGTGAATTTGTGTGGGGGGGTGGAGGGTGAGAAAACCTGGATTTGTGCTGGAAATGGCCCACCTGATGATCACTTTAGATAAGCTATTACCAGCAGGACAGTGGGGTGGGAGGAGGTATTGTTTCATATTCTCTGTGTATATATAAAGTCTGCTGCAGTTTCCACGGTATGCATCTGATGAAGTGAGCTATAGCTCACGAAAGCTCATGCTCAAATAAATTGGTTAGTCTCTAAGGTGCCACAAGTACTCCTTTTCTTTTTCCTAATAGTTAGAAAGCAAATGATTTTTTCCTTCCTAAGTGTACCATTTTGCACTTGTCTTTACTAACTTGGTTAGAGACCCATTCTCCAATTTGTCAAGGTCATTTTGAATTCTAATCCTGTCCTTGAAAGGGCTTGAAATCCCTCCCATCTTGGTGTTATCAGCAAGTGTTATAAGCATATTCTCCACTCTATTATCCTAGTGATTAATGACAATATTGAATAGTACCAGATTCGTGACTGACCTCTGAGGAGCCTCATTAGATATGTCCCTGTAGTTTAACAATGAGCCATTGGTAACTATTCTTTGAGTATGGCCTTTCAAACAGTTTTGCACCCACCATATAGTAATTTCATCTAGACCACATTTCCCTAGTTTTTCTGAGATTGTCATAGGGGACTGTGCCAAAAGCCTTACTAAAATCAAGATATATCTACTGCTTTCCCCAGAGCCACTACACCAGTAACCCTGTCAAAGAAGGAACTTAGATTGGTTTGGCATGCTTTGTTCTTGACAAATCCATGTTGACTATTTCTTATAATCCTGTTATCCTGTAGGTGCTTACAAACTGATTGTTTAATAATTTGTTCCAGTATCTTTCCAGGTGTTGAAGTTAGGGTGACCAGTCTATAATTCTCCAGGTCCTCTTTGTTTCCCTTTTTAAAGATAGTTACAATGTTTGCCCTACTCCAGTACTCTGGGACCTCACCCGTCCTCTGAGTTCTCCTAGATAATCCCTAATGATTCAGAGACTGGTTCAGCTAGTTACTTAAGTACCCAGTCTAGAGTCAGTTTCTATCCGGCCATGCCAATTTCAATACGTCTAACGTCTCTATTCTTTAACCTGTTCTTTCCCTGTTCTGGCTTGAATTCCTTCCCCTTTGCTGTTTGTGTTAATTGTGTTAAGTATCTGGTCAGACTAGTGAATACTGATGCAAAGTAGGCATTAACCTCCTCAACCTTTTTGTCATCCATTATTATAACGATTTGATGCTCTCCTGTCCCTTCCCAGCTCTCTCTGGCGGGGGCAGTGTGTTACTGAAGGGAAAGGAAGGTCTGTATGTGGAATCCCGTATCTCTCTTTTCAGGAAGGGGCTCAGCTGAGATTTTGACCCACTGGGATTATTCCTGAAATAATTGCCCTGGGAGGGATTTTCTCCTTGTTTCTGGACCATGGGGTGAGGCAGGGTCTTGTGTTTCTGGAAATTCATGTTTTGGGTGAGTTTTTTATGTCTCATTGAAATTTTTACCTGAATTTTTCTTTTTATACAAATAAATTCCTCATATTTTTGTTTGTTGGTTTGGTGTGAAGTCTTTGTCTCCCAGAGCTCTGCCAGGGGCATGATGATTTAGAGTCCCAAGAAGGAATTGAAAGCTCAGAGAGGGTGGGTCAGAGCCATCTATCCGCCAGCCCCTGCTGAAGGTGCCCTGTCAATCGGGGTGCCCTTTGCAGGGTGTCTGGTGAGTAAGTGTTTGCTTCCCTTCTCCTAGCAGTCTGGGGGGGAAGCAGGAGCCTGGGGCGATGCTCCGGGGACCAGAGAGCTATGGCTCTGGATGAGCTGAGAGACAGCTGTGGCGGGCAGCAGGGGCTGTTGTTCTGTGGGACACATTTCCAGGGTTGGGAAAAGATTCTGGGTGGATGCCTCCTGGGCCACGTTTTCATCCCCAGAGCAGAGCACAGAAGGGGGGCAGGATTCATCAGCTCCTGCCACCAGGGGGCCCTGGGTGGTGCGGGGGCTGAGGACGGGCGGGCTGCGCTGGCCCTTTAACTCTGTCCATGAAGCGGGGGCATTTGCAATTTGAGTTTCCTGAATCAGGCAGCTCAGAGGGTGGCGCTGCTCCTGCTGCCTCCGTGGTTCCAGGTGATTTGGGAGCCCGGGCGGAGCCGCCGCCGCTGCCCAGCGGGGTCTGTGCGGGGAGCGCCCTTCCCCAGCGCCCCCTGTGCCCAGCCGGGGGGACTTTCTCCGGGGGCTGGAACCAGCCCCTGGGGCAGCCCCGGGCTCTGCCGACACCAGCCCCTGAGCCGGAGCCTGCAGGTGAGGGGAGAGACCCGGGGGAAGGGCCGGGGCCGGGGCCGGGCAGGAAAGTGACTCTGCACCAACGGCCCCACCTCGCCCCAGCTCTGCTCCCGGGGGGGCGGGGGTCTGCGAGTCCCGGAGCTGCCGCCCTCCCTGACCCTGCCCCCCCCCCAGCTCTGCCCCCCTGAGCGCCTGCAGGAGCCGAGCCAGCGCCGGGAGAGCGACCGGCCGGGGCCAGGGACCGAGTCTCCCAGCCCGAGGGGACGGAGCAGGAGGGAGACAGGAGCAGAGACTGGCAGGGGCAGCAGGAGCAATCTGGGGAGGGAGGTTCCCGGCTCCCAGCCCTGCCCAGCCCCATTCCCTGCAGCACCCCGGGCAGATTGACTTCCCTGGGGAGAAGCAGGGAGAAGAAAAGCCAGTTCCTGCCTCTGCCTGGTCCCCGCGCTGCTGGGGGGATGCGCTGCCCTGGGGATCGTGTCAGGGGACCCCCCGACCCCCAGAGCGGCTCCTTCGATTCTGCTCTTTTCTAGCATTTGGTAACTTCAGGGACTGTTACTTGCCAGGGTTAAAAAATGGCTTTTGGGGTTTAGTCCTGGTGGGAGTGGGTGGATCGGGGCTGCAATAAGGTGACCAAGGGTTCTTCCAGCACTGCAGAGTCTGGAGCATCTGTCTGCAGAGAAAGCAGCTGGAGGGAATCAAGGTGTGAAATGGACCAAAGCCCCTCCTGAAACTCCCCCCATCGCCCTTCTCGCCCCCACAGGCTGCAGAATAACATTGCCCCCCCCCCCCCCAGGGGGGATAGAGAAGAGCAATGGCAGCAGTGCCGACAGCTCAGGAAAACCATTGTCAGGTGGGGGGGGGTGCGGTCTGGATGTGGAGGGGGAAATAAATACAGGAGAGAAAAACAGGAAATGAAAAATATTCAGTTATGTCTTTTGCTCTTCACCCAAAAATTCAGTATGGAGAAGCCGCAGGGGCACAGCTGGCTCCCAAATAACTGTGTTTACTAAAAAGAACAGGAGTACTTGTGGCACCTTAGAGACTAACCAATTTATTTGAGCATGAGCTTTCCTGAGCTACAGCTCACTTCATCGGGTGCATAAAGTGGAAAATACAGTGAGGATGTTTTTATACACACAGACCATGAAAAAATGGGTGTTTATCACTACAAAGGGTTTTCTCTCCCCCCACCCCACTCTCCTGCTGGTAATAGCTTATCTAAAGTGATCACTCTCCTTACAATGTGTATGATAATCAAGGTGGGCCATTTCCAGCACAAATCCAGGGTTTAACAAGAACGTCTGAGGAACAGTTGGGGGTGGGGGGGGGGGGAACAAGTAACTACAGTAGAACCCCAGAGTTATGAACAGTCAGGAATGCAGGTTGTTTGTAACTCTGAAATGTTCACAACTGAACAAAACCTTATGGTTCTTTCAAACGTTTACAACTGAACATTGACTTAAAACAGCTTTGAAATTTTATTATGCAGAAGGAAAATGCTGCTTTCCCTTAATTTTTTTTTAGTATTTATGTTTATACTGCACTGTATTAGTCTTTCTTTCTTTCTTTCTTGTCTCTACTGCTGCCTGATTGTGTACTTCTGGTTCCAAATGAGGTGTGTGGTTGACCGGTCAGTTTGTAACTCTGGTGTTCGTAACTCTGAGGTTCTCCTCTATACACAGACATGCAAGGCTGAGCCAGGTACATACACTGATGCAGGTGGGTGGTTTCTGACAGCAGCTTCTTTAAAACATAGAACACAAAGTGTGTCACCAAAGGGCTCGCAAATTATTTCAAGGGAAACTACCCAATTCTTGCACACTACATACCCCTCCCTCTTCAATTTAAAAGGACATTTAAAAAAAAAAAACCCTTACCAATCCATTATTATCAAAAGTACTGTGATTAAATATCCAGCACACTACACACCAGGTACCAAACCCACTGAGATGTTGTTAATTTCCCAATAACAGTGTCTCTGAACCAAATATTAGAAAGGAGTAGATTCAAAGGAGCCACTTTGGGGAATCTTCCGTCCACCCTTCCCCCCCGACACTGTTCCCAGGGCAGTGCATCCCCCCAGCAGCGCAGAGACTAGGCAGAGGCAGGAACTGGCTTTTTCTCTCCCTGCTCCTCACCTTCTCCCAGGAAAGTCAATCTGCCCGGGGTGCAGTGAATGGACCTGGACAGATTGACTTTCCAAGTCAATCTGCTCCATGCTGCTAGGGTCACTTGTAGTAGAAGCAAAGACATGAGGCTCGTTGGTGCTGTCATGAGTCACTGTCTGTGGTTGGGTTGTAGGTGCGACATTTTCAATGGTTGTCACTGGGGTAGAACATCCTGCTGAACTTGTGCTTAGCGGCTGTTTAGGTGTCTTCCTGAGGACATGTTCATTGAAAGTTCCTTGTCCAAAAGTTTAGCTAATTTGTTTTGTACTGGAGTCCATCATTTATTTAACTTCAGGGATCTGCTGTTTTGCTGGTCTAGCTGAATCTCTCTGTCATTTAATATCTGACCTGTTCGTTTCACAACACAGATGTTTAGCATATGCTGTTTTGTTAGATGTTACCTCCCACACTGTAACAAACCCAGGGGACCACAGATTTCCCCTGTATGTTTTTAGTAGCACTGAGGTTTGCTGCAACCTCAGTGTTTTAAGTAACCTCTGATTGCCCTGTTGTGAAGTTAGAAACACAGTGGAATCTTTATCCAGCTCCATTTTAAGTCTGACTTTTGCTTGTAAAGGAATCCAAATAATACTCGATCTTCTTCTAAGTTCAACAGTTCTTGAGAAGTTATTACACTCTCACAACTTGGCTTGGCTCTAGTTATAACCTGAGTGTTACCCTAACTCAAGATCCGTCCATCCACACACAAAATCCTGAACTGGAAAGCAACTCATCATTCTGTAGTACTGAGAGTCATGGGATCTGCCACCAGAAGTCATAGTGACATGCAAAGTGGGAACAGTGCCAGTGTGGACACTATAACTTGCGTGTTATTTCAATGTGGCCACAAGTAGATAACTGGAGTTAGCTCCGCAGTGAAGACAGACCCTCCTCCGTGGACTCCATGTTGTCACCTGCAAGCTGGTTTATCTTAAACCCTCTGGATTACCCTCATGAAGTGGTTCTTTCACTAACCTGCACATTTTGTCTGTGCCCCAGTTTTTTGCTGTTTTGACAGGGTTTGTGCTTGAACCAGTCATCATATCTCTTGTGAGACTGTTTCCCATGACAAAGAACATAGTGTTGGGTTCTACAGAGCCACCCAGATGAATGACATGGAGAGGTACCTGGCCTGGGTTTTCTGCAAGTCCAAGATGGAGGAGAGATGGGGAAGAACTAATAACCTGCATCATAGTAACTCCAAGACCTCACAATATTTGCTTTGTGAGCAGCCTGAGTTTTAACCTGCCAGACATCACTTCCCTGCAGCATGAGGGCCCCTCACATGGGATGGGGATAAAGGGGGAGGCTAAATTCAATTTAATCAACAACAGGAGCATTGGCCATAAGCCTTGATGCAGAGATGGGGAATGGGTAGAGGAGGGGGAGATCTTTGATGTCATCTCCTCTTCAGCTGCTCAGCAGTCAGTTGCTGACACTTTGCCTCTATCTCTTATCCTCTATTTCAGCTTCTGCAGAGAGGACCTTTGCTGAGACAGTTTAGTTACTTTTCTCCATAGTCTCTGTGAAGTTCCCCTCTCCTCCTCCTCCTCCAGTCTCTGCAGAAGCAGCTGGTCTTCCTCTCTCGGGAGCTGATGCACTTTCTCAAATTTTTATTCCATCTTCTCTCTTTTTCTCCTCATTTTGTTCTTTAATAACAAAAATTCACAAAGGACCAAGAATCTCAGTTGCACAGGATCCCCATCCCCACTTCAGACTCATTATGGGTCAGAGAATCCACAGCAATTTGTGTATCTAATGGATTTACAGAGTTACAAAGTATGGGCCAGACTGAGCCCTCAGTCACCCATGCAGTCCCCATGGAGGCTCAAGAACCCCACCCTGCTGTGGTATTTCCATTGCCCTCAGACAGCCTGTGGGGTTAACACCCCACTGAGATGACTGGGAAGCCATTGTTTAAGGCAGCCTGCAGAGCTCAGACCTCCAGTGAAGTATATGCCGAGTTCATATCTCCATTTGAGGAACTGCCCCAGATTGAGGTATCATCAGAGGATGTTTTGGACCAAATTGATAAATTGAACAGTAATAAGTCACCAGGGCCAGATGGGATTCACCCCAGAGTTCTGAAGGAACTCAGATATGAAATTACAGAACTACTAACTGTGGTATGTAACCTATTGCTTAAATCAGCCTCTGTCCCAGATGACTGCTGAAAACACCATGGTGAAAGTTATAAGAGAGGCATCACCATCTTCTCCTCCAACCATTTTGTGGGGAGTAAGGCAAGCACCTAGCTCATTCCTGCAAGAAACGCCTTAGGAACCTAAGCCATCTCCCAAGGCAGGTTCCCATTCCTGAATCGCTAAGCAGAGCTAGGCTCCTTCCTGCAGCCTGGACTTAGGACACATCTGGCTAGTTGGTATCTTCCATTGATTGCTAGGCAGGTCCTTGCTTAGAAAGCTGGTTTTGTTGGATCACAGTTTTAGGTGCCTAGCTTTCCCCACTGATTGTATAGGAACATCTGGCACCTAACTCAGGTTGGTGGATCACAGTGTGGGTCCTGTAACGCTCAGCATCATACCATCTAAGTTCCTTCTTGGGTTTCACCCTAAGACAAATAATTTAGCCCTGGTCTACACTATGGGGTTAGGCTGAATTTGGCTGTGTTAGGTCTATTTTAAAATGGATACGTCCATACAACCAACCCTGTTCCGTCGACTTAAAGGGCTCTCAAAATCAACCTCTGTACTCCTCCCTGGCGAGGGGAGCAGTGCTAAAATCAACCTTGCTGTGTCGAATTTGGGGTAATGTGGACGCAAATTGATGGTATTGGCCTCCGAGAGCTATCCAAGAGTGCTCCAATGTGACCACTCTGGACAGCACTTTGAA